ACATGAAATCACCGTTACTTAAACAATGCCCTTTAAAGATTTTCAATTTTACTTTAGAGTCACATGCTCATACTGAAAGAGCTGCACCTGGCTCTCCAGCTGCAGTCTGCCAACCCCTGGTAGAGGGTAGACAGGTATTAACTTGGATAAAGGGGACAGATAATATTCTACAAGAGAGAGAAGGGACAAAAAGGAGGGGAACAAAGCAAGCTATTAGAAGGTGAGCTAAGTTGTTTGAATTGCTGAGTTAAAACAACAAAATCACTCAAAGCTCACTGCCATCAAGTCAGTGCTGACTCACAGGGACCCTACTGGACAGTTCTGAGACTGTAAAGCTTTGTGGGAGTAGAAAGCTCCGTCTTTCTCCTTACACTAGCCTAATTCACAATACAAAGTTAAGGATAAATATAAAAAGAATTAACCACTAAAATAGAGATATAATGAACTAAATTACCTAATATTAAACATGAACTTTGACTTCCCTTTTGTGTATGGGGCTCATCAATGACATTTTGACAGAACAGTACTACCAAATCACATCAACAAACCTTTAAGGTTGGGGTTCTTCTCTTTCAGCAAACAGCCTCAGATGCCTGTAAAATGCCTGACAAATATTCCAGAGGCATCTGACAAGCGTGACCTTTTTATTTTCCGGTGAGACTCCCACCATGAGTCTCATCCTCCAACGGCAAATCAGGCCACGCTAGAAGCCAGTGTCAGAGTGCCTCAAGGAGCAGGGCGGAGGGCGAGAGAGCACACGTCGGCCAGCAGGGGGCAGGTCAGAGAGAAGGAGCAGAAAGAGGACAAGGGGCAGGCCGGAAGCCTGCACACGAGTGACACTCACCTGGTGAGTGCTGTTAGAGCCCGTCATCCAGAAGTGAAAAAAAGGGGGCCTTTCCTCCTCCTCAACACTTCAGCTATGCAATGCCACCAAACCAAATGATGTGGAACCAAACCAAACAAAAACACAGACGACTATGTTAAAAGTGCCTTTTGTCCAGAGGCAGTCACCAAATTCCTTTTTAACCAGTTTATTGATGATGTTTAGTCCTATGAGCAGGCTAAGAGTGCGGTGCCTATTCATGAAAACACAGTGGTAAAATGGCCTTTGTGGTTATAAGGGAACTATCTTTAAGTAGCATCTTGCTGAACAACGCCCTCTACATGTTTCCATAAGGAAAACAGGATACAGGAATGAAGGGCAGGTGCGTAGGGTCCTCCGTGACCACATTCAGATACCTAAGACAAGCTGCAGAGCTTCGAAAGCATTTACACTGCTTCCTTCAACACTAACAATAGCCTTAAGACGTAAAAAGGAAAGATGTCATTAATTCATTTTGCAGGAAAAGAGGCCCAAACAACTAAATAAGTAAAGTTTAAAACTAGTGGCAAATAGAATGAAAACTGGAATGTATGTCTTTACACTTCTCACTTAGTGTATTACCAATTTACTAATTTGAAACATATTGGAAAACTCAGGAATTTGTGTTTCTTTAAATTTTGCTCTGAATCTCCATATTTCTACTGAAATATAATAAATATTTTTAG